AAGGCAAGATTTTTACCAAGTCCTATATCTGAAGTTGTAAAAAGATGCAGCAACCACCGATTATTCTTTCATTCATGCCCTCACAAGCGCACTCACCTGGGGCGAGAGACCATTGCTCACTGGAGTCATGTGGTTTGTGGAGGCAGCCGGGTTCATGAAGCTGTCAGTGTAGCTGGAGAAGGAGTGTCGGCCATATGCTGAGGAGCCATCTGCCGAGGAAAGACCAGTCTGATGCATGGAGGAAGGTGGGAGAGGCTGCGGCCGGTGCAGAGTACTGCCACCTTCTGATGGAGAGAGAGAGTGAGTCTATTAGAAAAAGACAAATAAACTGTTCAAATATTTCTACCGAAGAGTTTAGAGAAGGATTGTTACCTTGTGAAAGGGTGCTACTGGGATAAGAAGACTCTGGAAGCTGATAGGTGGGTAAAGTTGGCATCCCGGTGGGTGGAAACCCTCCAGGTAACAAGTGGTTAAATGCTGCCAGCTGATTGGCTCCTGCTTGCTTACGCCACCGCGCTCTTCTGTTACTAAACCAGACCTGTAAAAAGTGCAAAAAAAGAACAAAGGTTTTTGAACAAAGGTTTTAAGCATTTTACATAAATCCAGTGATAATTGATATTTTTTCTTTTATTATGAAGAATTTTGCTAAGATATGCCCGTTTGAATAGAAATGAACTAATGACTTGAACATGTATACAACATCTCCATTCTTTAATGACAAGTGCTATAAAAAAGAAGCTTACAAGCTTATAACAAGCCCCTGCACACACTACTTAGAAATGGACATCACTGTGATGATTTTGCTTTTGGAGAATTTCCGTTAAAGTCTATTTTCTGGGCATTTTTGATCTAGTCGAATTAAGGACGATTAAGAGCACACCGCTCTTAAAACATTTTCTCAACGCAACATTTTCTGTGATTGCATTCACGTTTAACATTTATCCGAACATGCATTGTTCAAAGTTGTGTTAGTTTCTTTTTTGTTTTACATTTTTATGTTGGTGGTTCAAGTATGCTCAGAAAAATGAACAATAGCAATCGACTAGTGGGGAAAATATTATACGGTTATTGCTGAGACTTGATGCAAACCTTAAGAAATATAAAAATTTTTTCCAGAAGAAAGTTGGAAAATAATTAAGATCTGAACAGGTTTAGGGGACAATTAATCCAACCATTGCAGCCAACCATTCGTGAAAAGAAACAATAGTAAAGCCTTGGATAAAGCCTTAAAAATATCTTTCATACAGAATACTCTTAAAGAAAGAATCCTGTAAAAAAAACCTCTTATAACCAATACTATTCATTAAGTTTTTAGGTTATTTAAAAACAGATCTAAATTAACCTTATAATTTTAACTTACTTAACTCTTGGAAGTCTAGGGCCTTTACAATTTGCTCTAAAAATAACTTTACAATATTTTTTGTTACAATGCTTGACATAATTTTTTTACAAATATAATTTCATTACAATTCCACAAAATCTTTCAATTCTAAGAATTACATTTTGTCACTTTTTACTGCAAAAAAGAGAACCAACTTTTTATATTTCATAACAAAAATCAAGCGTTGAGACAAAATAAACATTGATAGATTCCCCAAACAAAGCAAAGACAAGGCCAAAAAATGAAAAACATTGTATAAAAACAAATGAAAACCCTGAAAACGTTTCCAGGCACTATTTGTTCCAGATCTTTGAAAAACACTAGCCATATCACAGGTCTTGCACTTCCAAGCGTTATCCCTTCTTTTTATTAACTAGATAGCACTGATAAAATGAAACTGAAAGACACATTTCTTACATTTTAATTTGAACTACCTTCAAATGAAGTCGCATCATAACTCTTGTAATGTTTTTTTTTTAAATGAAAATATAAAACCGAATAATCTTTTTGAAACCTACACAGTATATATGAAATCAAAATTAAACATTAGGTGGGTTGCGTCATTCCTACATACTTCAAAACATCCGGTGTGATCTAAGGGTTAAAACTTCAATGTTTGTAAATAAGTACAATTGATAAAACAGTCATGGTGGTCATAGCTACCAACAGAGTTTGTATTTTCAGATTTCAAAATGGACATTCCAATGGATGTCACTGTGGAGTCTATTCCATCAGAGCCTATCATTTCTATCATTTCATAAAAAGAGTGGCGTAGCTCCAACTTAAGGCATCTGCACTCTCCTCAGTAATATAGAATAAAATCTTGAACTGGTGCCATGGTGTCGTTGTGATTTCTTCACAGATAGTTTTTCTATCTCTGCCCCTCATCAGATGGTCAGTGCTAGAGGCAGGTTGCTCTGCAGTAAGTGTGTGGCAGGAGTGAGTCCTCATGGGAAACTGCCTCTGTTGTTGTAGTTAAGTGACTAAAGCTGTGATCTGTATAAACAGGCGGCTTTCACTGCCATCAGAGAGCAGAGGTCGTACATGGGTCAGAGGTAGGCCACACATCTCCTCCACATACACACTCACATGTCTGTTTATCTACCTGTCGCTCGCTTTGAAGAGTGGCTCAAGGACTTCGCTGCAGCGCTGTCAGAAACAATGTTGTTTATGTAGTGTGGGAAGAACAGAGAGGATATGTAACGGGCTGCAAAGGTTCTAAACAGGAGTGGCATTAACATTGGGATACATAGAGGACAAGCGGGGGAGAAAAAAGCCAGGTTTACAACTTTCAAGATAATTAAGGTAGTTTAACAAGCAGCGAAAGTACTAATGCTGAAAAAGTCCAAAACACTGGAACTGTCCTTTGTATAAAACTTTGGAGGCAGAGTCTGAAACAATTTTTAAGTGCATTTTAGAATATTGCAGAAAAATGCCAAAATGTGCATATATACGTTGAAACTGAGTAGAATCAACTTTTTATCTTATTAAGAAAAATACGCGCAGATTAAAATGGGATGGCTTTTATCGATTAAATCCCAATGCAATGCAATGCATTTTTCTGTTGGTGTTTTGGCGCGATGGGACGGCATTAATGGACAAAAGCAGTTGACCGATTTTAATGCACAACATCAAAGTGGTTGGTGATTATCACCTACCAGAACTGTCTTGATCGGCTGCGTTCCCAAAGAGCCGTTTCCCACCTCCAAAAATCACATCACTGCGAATATTGCGTTCCATCTATGTGTTCTAAGACACAAGTACGTTTTTACAAAAAAGACCTTCTCCAAACCCAGTGGCTTCCATTCTTTTGATATTTGGCACCAGTTTATCAGGAAGTTATGTTTTTGTTTCATTGGACTCGTTGGATGGAAACTGTGCTTTTTATTCAAATGTTTTGTGAAATATTCCAGTTTTGTGCATACATTTATGGCTTGTGATGCCATCCATTTCTAAAGAGTAAACTAATTATGGGCATAGACAGCCCTAGCAATTTCAGTGGGATATGTGCAGACTATAACATCAACATATGTAATGGCACCTCAAAATTGTATTTTCTATGTAAAAAGATTTATAAAATAAAACAGAGAACTCCAAATTTTCAAGACAAACTATTACACCTCTTTTAGGATTTAGAAATCAAAGCTCAAAATTGTCTGTAATACTGCTAGAAGGCCCAAATCTAGTTGTAAATGTGTGAGATGGTAATATATTGCATAGAACATTTTTAAAAAATTAATGGGTACATGGAAAGGGGTTGAGCTGCTTTTGCAGAACGGTGAAACTGAAAAGCTACTACTGTGTAGTTTAAAGGTTCTTACATCTGAATATTATAGAATTGATGTGGAATGTTACGGAGAAGAGAAAGTTTTTCATCCAAGTCATGATCCCCAGCTGATGCTGCCCCCCTCCAAAAAATAGTAGACAAACAAATAGATCGTAAGAAGTGTTATCTAACAAAGTGTTTCAGTGTCACTGTGAAACTATGCTGAGGCTAATCTCTTAAAAATATAAAAATGCCACATTTTTCTGCGGAATCTCCTCCATCGTAACATGAATTTCAAAGAAAGCTTCTTTGAAATCGCCCGCTCTGTTTCACAGGAACAACACTGCAGCCCTGCGTCTGTGAAAGCTTTGAGGACATTGATCTCTGCCATGCACTGGCGATTCATCCGCGTTTAATACACTGTCAGAGCAGTTCATCTAGCGTTGTGTTTAAAACTGCACGGTCCATTGTGTGTCCAGATAAAAAGGGGGGACAAAGGCCTCTCAATACCCCAGACTGAAAAGTGTCCACAAAGAGTGGGCGTCCCTTTTTAAACGTGCCTTTAAGAGATTCACTTTCATGCTACGCACACAAGGACACACACCCTATTCTGATGCAAGGACACTGCAGACACACTCTACAAAACACACTGGCCCTTTCTGACAAAGCCTTGCTTACATTGTCCCTGTGCAAAACTGTCAGGTCGCTAACAGCTAGCATCTCATTCAGATGACTTCAATGGCACGCCAGCGTTTGATGCCACTAAAGATGACTCTTACCCATCTGTCAGGCGTCAGAATCGAATCGCTCTTTCTTAAACTCTACAAAAGTGAACCCAATCACCCAACCATGATCCTCTCAAAGGGTTTGGGAGGAGAAGCTACCCCTTTTGTTTGTATTGAGTTTTGGTGTCCAAAACATTGCAAACACGCTAAACATGGAACAAAGCGTAAAAGTTATTGCACCAGTCTCTTATTAAAGATGACATGAGAAAAAGGCTGAGTGTCAACACCCTAACTTTGTACGTGGTATTGAGTAATGGAGGCGCTCCATGACTGCATAGCTTTAAGAGATCAACCTTGGAGAAATTGTTTATGAGGGATGAAAAAAAAAACACTCACAAAACTAAAAAGTGTCCAATTCAGGGGTGCCTCCTGACCTCTCACCTTTCTCCACCCTTTCATCCTGACCCTCTTCTACTCTCTTCTGCATGCCCTGAAGTCAAGTTGCTTCCTTCAGTGGTTTCCTCCCAAAAGATGTTTACCATTACGACAACTTTTGTAAAGTCCCAAATTTGATCAAGTCTTTCCTTGCTAAACTCACAGAACAAATATGTTGTCTTTTTATGTAATTGCTTTCCTGTGGCTCAGTCAGTAGAAGATTGTGCTAGCAACGCAAGGTGATGGGTTCAAACCCCGGGGAAAGCAAGAAATAACGAAATGTGTTAATTGCTTGAAATGTAAGTCGCTTTGGATAAAAGCGTCTGCCAGATGCATAAATGTTAATGTAATTGAGGTTTTAGGGAAGATCATTACAATTACATTATTAATCAAATAAAAAGTGCTGTATTTATGGAGGCTTGCATCGAACAAAATATTCAAAACATATCTCTGCTCGAGATACAGCCACCAAACTTTGCTGAGACATCCAAACTGGTCTGAGTCGGGTTGCTATATCTTTTCAGACTGGTACCACTAAAGGAATTCTACTAAATAGCTGAGAATGCTGTGAATGCTGTGCTGAGAATACTCGTCTTAGCTAATAAATAATAGAGGGATAGGGGTTGCTTTATGTATCTTGACAAAACGCTATTTTACGTCACTGGTAGCAACCAGACGGTTTATCCTAGCAACCATAGCTCAGCGTATGAAAATCATAGAGATGTGGGGGTTGACTTATGTTACTCATAGTGATATTAGGAACATTTTTAAAACTTCTTTTAAACATCACTTTTTCAAGTCAACATCGAAGTTTGTGCACAAACTTTATTCTTCTAGTTAAAAAAATAGCGTGTTTTCAAAAATAACACTATGATTAACAAGATTATTATGTTGTGCATTTAAAATAGTCAATAAGAATAAAATATTGAGTAATTTCAATAATGAGTCAAGCTGTTAGTCCACTTCTCTCTGCAGGGAAAACAGTGGAGCTTTTCATCGGGTGAAGAGGGAACATCCCCTTCTCTTGATGTCATCAAGTGGGAAGGAGCTAAGAAAAAAAGGAAAATATTCACATTGTTCCTTAGTGTTTGACTAAAATTGAGTCTATTAACTGTTGCGTTTATCTCTCTAACACAATTACCTCTTATGTATTTTTGTTTCAATCTGTTTCTTTGTGCCATTACGGAAAAGTTCACAGAAAATATTGATATAAGGATGGCTTATAATCGGTTCACCCTGAGTTTCAACACGATTCAGTTCAATTAATGAGGAAATGATTTTACTCCATTGCAAAAGGCAAAGTAAGAAAGCTAAATGAATATTATAAAATTCGGGTGAAGCCAGATGAGGTCAGGATAGGTGGAGAAGTTCCTTCTCACTGGATGTCCAACTAATTTAAACAAAAATGGTAACACATTTAAAGCAACTATATATTTGAATCACATTTGTTCATTTATTAATCAAACCTGAGCACATGTAAATAGTTCACTTTAAGTAAAACCTCCCTTAATCTTTTTTTTTTGTTATTTTTTCCCAATGTGTTACTTCTCCCTTCTCCCTAATCTCAGCACTAAACCTGTATGATTCAGAATTGGACACGACGCGTCCTGTGGCTGGATTATCTGCGACAGCAAGCAAATCTTGTGGCTTCACCGTGTGCTGGAAGAAGGTTCCTGTCTGCATTAATCACAGCAGCATTTCTCTCTAAGTGAATTTGCTCTCTTTGAAAGCACAATGGCGTCACAGAGGATCACAAGTTAACTCTATCAAGTTAAACACTGAGTCCAATATACCCAAATAAACACTCTTCTGTTTTCTAGCATGGAGAGATGCGTCACTGCGCCTGTCACTGTGTACTTGTTTTTTTTTTTTTAATCCAAGTGAGCTCTTCAGATTAAATCACAGTCTGATCTCAGTTAGAAACTAATTTGAGCTCTGTAAGTAAGCAAGATTTAATTGAAACAGAATAGTATTATTTCAGAAATTGTTGGGCCAGGATAAGTGAAAGCACTATTTGTATAATTTAAACACAACTAAAACATAGAGTCCACCAATAATGCGCTGAGCTGGATTTTAGACATTATCACAAAGTCACCTTGAACAGTCTGAGATTCCCCCCAAACCCACAGACTGTCTGCAATCCAGCCTAAGTCCTCCACAGAGAGAGGTTTCATCCGACTATACCAAACCCACAAGAGAAGGAACATCTGCCATCATGCACTGAGAGTGGCTCTTAGCCTGGGAGGACAATGGTTTAAATTGCACTCTTGAAAGTTTTAAACCAGTTTTCATTCATCTGCTGCAGAGTTTCCATGTTGATTGTTTCAGATAATGTGTCATTTAAATGGCTCCCTGTCACTTCAGTGTTTTCATTCTTCTGACTGATCTCAAAACACCACCAGGCTTTGACCTTTCAAGGGTTGGTATACAAGGATGCATTTCATTAGGAAACCATTGTAATATTTGGTCAGAATTGGTTGGATTTCGAGAACAGACAGGAAGAAAAGTTTCCATGGCCAGTGAGGCAGGGTAGGAATCTGAGTGGGGGTGTGTCATTAGCCCATGGCTGTCACTGTATATGGTACATTATATGGTACATTATTACACTATACATCAAATTTACGTGATGAGAGTAATTTATTGTCAATTATCAAAGCAAATCTGCTTGAGATCCATCACACAATGTGAGGGGACTATATATATATATGGGTACGCTGGAGAAAGGCACCGGCAGACCCTCATGACCCACAAAAAAAGGGAATAAGCGGGTTGGAAAATGAATTAATGAAGGAATGAACTTTTTTAAAGTATATATTTTACCAATAACGTTTGGGGACACTTTATCATTTGAACGACCTGCAGTTTTATCAGTTCATTAATCTTAATAATTTAATAATCTATAGAGATTTGAGCTTACACCAATTGCCTTTTAGGCAGCAACCAAACAGCAATTTCTGCACAGTAAAAAAATAAACCTTTTGTTGACAGAACTTTACTGTCAAATATACGGTGGCACCATTATTGCTTTCTAGATGTAAAAATTGTGCTTTTTACATTTATAACTGTATAATTAACATATTTTTGTTGCTATAAAAACAGTTTATACCTGTAAAAATCAAGTGTTGATAATTTAATATATGACAGAACTGTCATGGAATAATTACTGTTAATTAAAAATTTTTTTTACAGCTCTGAATATAATATTTTAAAGGTTTGGGTTGTAATAATAGTGACAATTAAAAAAAAGTGTAATAAAAGTGTAATAATTAAAAAATAAACGGTGCATTTTATAGTAAGCTGTGGTTGCCAAAACTTTTCATCATCAAATATGCAGTAGTTATTAGTTTCACGGGGTTGACTTGTATCAATATTGTTATCATGTTTTTATGGTTTATAGTTTTCTAAATGCGTGTGATCCCATTGGGTTTCTTTCAAAATTCTACAAAATAAATTTTAGAACAAATAAAATCCTGTCTTTCTATTAAAGATACTAAAGAAATTTTTAATTTTACGTCAATAAACTGTATTTTGGGCAGCACTGTGGTACAGTGGGTAGCAGTGTTGCCTTCCAGTTAGAAGGTTGCCGGTGACCTTCCTGGAAGGAGTTTGCATGTTCTCCCTGTGCTTGTGTGGGTTTCCTCCGGTTACTCCGGTTTCCCCCACAATCCCAAAATCATGTGGTTAGTTAATTGAATAATCTAAATTCCCCTTAGGTGTGAATATGTGAGTGAATGCTGCCCTGTGATGGATTGGCGACCAGTCCAGGGTGTTTTCTTGCCCAATGTGTGCTGGAGATGGGCACCGGCAGACCCCTGTGACCCCAAAAAGGGGAATAAGCGAGTTAGATGAATAAATAAACTGTATTTTCATTAAAATGTAACTGTTAAAGTTAAGGTCTTACTCTGTAAAAATTATTACATTTTTTTCAATGGTAAATTCTACATTTATCAATTTTCCGTGAAATACTGTTTTTTATCTGGAGCTTGTTAACAGTGAACCCCCATTGGAGGAGTAATATGTGGATGATTGCAGTCAATGAATGAAGCTAGAATTCATTGATTGACCACTTGAGGTTGGTCCTAGTAACTAGCAGATTCTCATCAAATTATATTTTAAAGGTAGACTTTTTCACTGCAAAAACGTATTTGAATCTGCCATCTAATAAGGATTTTCAATTGTGTATGTTTCCCACCTCAACATCCAGAGGTATGGACACATCCATAGTTTATCTACATCTATATCAATACCTCTATACATAGAGAGAGAGAGAGACTATTGCTTGAATCATAAAAAAATCCATATGTGGATGAAAAAAAAATCAGTTTTTTTATGGACCAGAACCAGCTTTTTGCTAAGCAATAACACCAAGGACTAGATCTGGTTTCACAAGAGAAAAATGTAAAAGGTTTTCCACCACTCTTTTCTTGTGCTATCCTGCTTTAGTTAGTTTAGTCTTAAGTTAGTACTTTGTTAATTGTTGTCACTGGGAATATGAACTGCAGAAAGAGGACTGGGATTACTTAGATAAGAATCAACAAAAACAAAGGTTTTAAGCGAAAGAAAATCTTTGACATTCTCACTCATGTATTGCAACAATTTTGCTCTTTACAGTCTTCAGAAATCCAATTTATTCTTTTATGATGCACAAGTTGCCTTTTAGTAAGTATAGGATATTATTACTTTTTCATGAATGATTATTTATATCCTTTATAGACAATATCATTGAATGAAAAATTAATAACAGTGCAAAGAAAAAAGATTTTTTTTTGTCAAGACCTCAAATACAGGTATTTTAACAAAGAAGAAAAAAATATTGATTCTTACAGTGTGTCAACAAATCAAAGAAAGTCATTTACAAACGCCATGATATAACCACCCCTCCTATTAGCAGATGGAATTAAATCGCTTGCTTATAAACTCCCAAGTATAGAAGGGCTAACTTCCTGGCGAATTGATTTCTACGCTTCATGAAAGGAAATGCTTACACCTTATTAGATTGAACTAACTATAATAGATTCATGTAGAATGCCCACTGCTTGTGGAAGGGTTTCTATTTCTAAAAAGAGGAGCCAGCAGCACGCTCTCTTGTGTCTGCTAACTGAGTGGAGTCGCCACAACCTCTTAAAAACTTCAGACTGAAAGAGAATTGAATGCAATTCACTTAATTATGGATGATTTAAAACAACCACCATTGCAGTCTCTTGTCTCTTAGTTTTTTTGGTGCCTGAAAAATACCCACTTTGCTTCGCCTGAAACTCAAAAGCCGT